CATCATCATCGGCAAAGTCAAGATCAGTGAATCTTTCTTCACCAACAGATGCCCCACAGGCGCTGGACCTCACGACCTTGCCCAACACCCAGTCTATGCAAGCAGTGAACAGAGTAGGAGCGAGAACATACTCCTGACAAACCCCTGACAAACCCCAGAATCAACTGAGAGGTTCTGCTTTCACTCTGCACACTGGACTGCTTAGGCATAAAATCAGACTGCTCTGGTTACTGGTAGCAAACAAGTGATTAAGGATCCCGTTGAGGATGACCCTAGCAAGGACCTTACCTGACACAGAGAGCAGTGTTATCCCCCTGTAGTTGCCGCAATTCAGGCAATCTTCCTTCCCTTACCAGATAGGAACAAGTCCCATTTTCCCGTCAGTTGGGATGATGCCCGTCTCCGAAATGGAAGCAAGATTGCTTGCAATGCCAGTGGGATAGCTTTACCACCAGCCTGGAGGTCTGAGGGGGTCAACAGGTCGCTAGAAAGGGGTATGTGGACTTTTATTATTTCAATATTATTATGACTATTATTATATACTGTATCATTATTGTTCTGACTTACCTACAAATTTGACTCAAAAGACAGACTTAGGGAACAGATCTCGTTGGTAATGTGGAGACTGCCTGTATTCCAGGATATCAGCTGGACATGCTAACACTAACAGATGGCGGCTGATGACCCATTCAAATATCACAAAACACAAATGGAGAAGATATGGAAAGGAAATGCCATTAGCTGAAGGGAGACTATGGAGGTACTTCATTAACTGGCTTAACTCTGAACCAAGAATTTCCTCAATCTATACTTAAAACACCAGAAAGGACAAAATGCTCGCCTTCCCCTTCATCTGCAGCTTCCCAGCTCCAGTGTCCTCCAGAGCCGGCTCCTCTAACACAGTATTTCCCAACGCAGTCCTTGGTGACCCCTAGACAGTCCACATTTTTGGTCCCACCCAGCTCCCAGAACACCTGAACCAAGCAAACAAGAGCACCAAATACCAAGTACAGGTGTGCTGGGCTGCTACACCAGACCTGGCACAGCATGGTGGGAGTGGGGCGGAGCTCTTAGGTCTCCCGATTGAATATTGCTCTGACCACGCAGTCCTTTTCAAATCAGGTTTCACACTGAGTTCACTGAGACTAGTGCGAGGTTCCCCGTAATTGGTTTTACTAATAGGCTGAAGAACTGCAAGGACAATAAGTTCGTTAAGGCCTGGCCACTGCCATGTCAGTTTTAATGCTAGATCACGCATTTCTTTCATTTTATGAGCTGTGCATTCATGCTTATGGAGGCATGATGGGAAAAGCACCCTTGTTCAGCCATGACTTCCTTGTTCATTGCAGATCACATGTGGGATTGCCTGGTCCACACCTCTTTTCATTCTTAGGTCAGATACGGTGGCACCGTTTTGCGTACCTCTTAGTATCAATACTGTGCCTCCTCACATTTTGAGATGTTTACCCCATTGCAGTCCCTGTGAATTCTTGCCATGAGAGAGATCTAGGCGGAGACAGGGAAGAGGGAGGGATGGGGCCACACCCCCTCATTAGGAAGATGGGTGCTGGTGCAGGCGGGTGGTTTGAGGCCAGAGAATGAATCAAGCGGAACAGGGAGAAATATGTAAACATGCAAACCTCAAAAGTGCTTGCAAAGGTTACAAAATAAGTACAGCTTTCTGGAAAACTACCTGCATATCTAAATGCCAGCTTAGATAAAACTGATCAAACACAAACACAAAAATGTTTACAAAAACCCGAATGAATTATAAAAAGTAACTCCCCAGTTATTAACCCAGATGCCCTTACCCCTGTTGTCTCAAAGCACCTTTGCCAAAAGGACAATTGCTCAACTCAGCAGGTCCTTAAAATGCATTCTGGCGAAGGTCGCTGAGGGTTAAGCCAAGCGCTCAAATGCATATGGGGGGGGGAATAGGACCCCTGCAGTTTTGCTAAAAGAAGCTATGTTTACTTTAGTGTCAATGCCCCCCTTAACTGGAAAAGACCATCCAGAGATTTTGATTGCTGAGTCCTGTGCCACACTGTCATTCTCCAAAGGAAAAGGGAAGAGCCACTGTAACCTGACATTAAGTTTTCTCCCATATTTCATTGCCAGCACTGTCAATCTTCAGGATTTGACAAAAGTCATTAAAAACATTTAAAAAGATGGCAACCACAAACATCCATCCATTTTCTGTAACCACTTGTCCTATTCAGGGTAGCAGAGGTTTTGGGGCCCTATCCCAGAGGCTTGGGGCCCTATCCCAGAGGCTTTGGGGCCCTATCCCAGAGGCTATGGGCCCTATCCCAGAGGCTTGGGGGGCAAAGCAGGGAACAACTAACACTAATTAGTAATTCTTACTTGATCTTATTTTAACCCCCTGGGGTCTGAGGCTTCTTTTCCACTTTCGGGGTAGTCTGACATGCCTTGACATTTCAAAATATTTCACCTATCTAAAAAACAGATTTCCTCCCACAGTGAAAAGAGTTTCATGAACTGCTCATCACATGTGAGGTGCCTGTGCCCCCCCACCCCACCCCACCCACCCACCCACCACCATGACTAACAGGTCAGAAAATCAGGAAACATTACTATAACAGGAGCTGATCCTGATCATACCTCCCAACCTACATTCAGACCCCACTCCTGGATCCATTGCTAAGGTGAGACCCCACATCTCGGAGCCCCTCCTCTCATGAACTGCGGCTCCACAAGGAGATCTACTCTCTCTCTTGCTCTACATTATACACCCCTGACTCTGCTTCAAAAAGCACATCTGTCAAACTTCTTAAGGTTGCAGACGACACCAGCCAGGTTGGAGTCATCTCAAAGGGTGACGAGTCCACTTATTGGGATGAAGTAAGGTGACTGATGTAATGGTGTGGAGTAACGCTGAACACACAGAAACTGCTGAGACAATTATCGATTTGAGGAAAAAAGCACGTCCCACCACCTCCATTGGAAATACACGGCACCACAGTCAGCAGAGCTGAGTCTTTCAAAATTCATAGGCATCACCATCCAACAGCACCTGGGGGACGGGAACATCACCAATGTAGCCAGAAAGGCCCAACAGTGCAGTTACTTCCAGCAAGAGCTTAACAAGCCCTTAACAAAGCTGTCATAGCCATAATGGAATTAGTCATCACATCCTCCACCTCCGTCTGCCTCGGTTCTGCATCATCACACTCTAAGCAGAAACTGCAAGGCATTACCCAGGGTGCGGAGGGAGCCAGGGGCTGCTGGCTCCCCCCTCAAAGGCCTGTACCGGGGGGGGTAACGAAAATCACATCTGCCCCCTCCCACCTGGGCCACTCCCACTTCCAGCGTTTCCCATCTCAGCAAAGGCTGAGTAGGAACCCTAAAGACTCGGACTAAATCACCGCCTGCACATCCTCTTTCCTCAGGCCATCACCATCATAAATCCAGCACTTCCCACACCCTCCTCCATGACCAACTGAACACTCACACTTACATTTTAACAGCACATAATCACTGGACATACTACACATTTTAACAGCACATAATCACTGGACATACTACACATTTTAACAGCACATAATCACTG